CAAAGGATCCAAAGGAAAACAGTAAGAAGACCTTCAAGGCTGGTTTGTTAATGGCAAGTGAAGAGTGATGAGCTGTCAGGCTGAAGTTAACAAAATAATCTTAACTCAAGGTCCTTTTACTGGTTTATTTCACTTGGTCCTCATCATGACTTAAGTACTTATTTAGCTAGTACTTCTGGATTATGGGTAATAGCTTGCTTGCAAACCAGCAGTTAAAATAAAATTGGATCAACTGCAGTCCACTTGTTATTCTGAAGCTTTTCATTGTATTTCACTGTATTTTCATCAGTAGCTGGATTTGTTCATTTGCTCAGTAATGCACAACAAATCAATGTAGACCAGGGACTCCCAAGTCCCTCATTAGAAAGGGCTTTCTAGTGGAAAGTCAATATGGTGAAAATATTTAATGTGTTACATACAAGCTAAAAACAATTTTGCGGGTGATCTTGTCCATAGCATCACATTGCTTCAGTTCCAAACTGGGGACATCTTAACCTCCATTCACAGTGAGCAATGCAGTGCAAATGCAAAGTCCAAACCAAAAAAAGCTCTTAATGGAGCTGTGGAAAATGTGAAAGAAAAAAAAATCTAAATGTTTTCTCATAAGCAGTGAATTAGGGGGAACGATTCATCAGTTGAACACGCTGCACCTTTCCGTATCATTCATCTGCTCACAAATGTTGTATTCTGCAGGCAGGACAGGCCACGCTGAGGTGGTCAGAGTTGTCTTCCAACCAGAGCAGATCAGCTTTGCCAGTCTCCTCAAAGTCTTCTGGGAAAGCCACAACCCAACTCAAGGTACATCATTCACCAACAAACTCATTACTTTGGCCCCAAAGGAAAACGCTGAGTTTTAAAAAAAAACAAAAACTGATAAACAGAATGAAAAAGTGGCTAATGCAGTGAATACTGAAAAGTGTAATTTTTCTTCTTACCTTTTTCCCATTATGCTTCATTTTCTTCTGATTTTCACCAGGAAATTCTATTAACCAGCACTAACAGTAATATCAGTTTGTAATACATTCAAGATTTTATTAAACTGAGTGAGAACAGGAAGCATCATCTATCATCGTATGTATCTTAGAATAGCATTAGGGAACTATAATGAGGATGAAACTGATGGGAAAAAAAGAAAGAAAAGTGTTTGGTTTAAAGATGGCAACAGAAAAAATCAGCTAATAAAGCCTTTTGAAACAAAAGCATGTTTTAGGCTCATTGGTTCAAAATTACAGACTTAGTTTTTTCAGGCTTGGCTCAACTGTTAGCTGCTATTAGCCAACTTCTTAAAGCTTAGTTTTAATGTTATTTTTTTAAAGTAACTTGTTACATTGCATTACATTACTTCTAGTATAAATAATATATTACATTTTCAGCTACCTCCTGAGAAATGTAACAGAGTACATTTGCATTACCAAAAATTATCTGCCCTTTTGCATTTAGCTGGTTTAACCTACTTTACATTCACCTCTGAGTAAGTGTAAAGTAGGAATACTAGTTTATTTCATAAAGTCTTTCTCCTCATCTCCAGTGTCAGTGTCATCTTCAAAATGTCTGTTTCCAATTAAAGATCATCCACATGTTTAATTTGACAAAGATTTTACACCAGATGCCCTTCCCATTTAACCAAACTTGGGACTTGGTTTTCACTATAGAGACAGCAACCAATCACTCACAATGAAACCTAACTAAGCTTACATGAGCAAATAACATGACACAGGCTCACTGCCACGTGCTAATCTTTTCATGTAGTAAAGTATGATTACTCACTTCAGTGATTGGCTTCTCCTTCTTTCTGATGGTGAACTGCAGAAGCAGCTATCTCTGGTTCTGGTTACCTTTGTGGTAGTGCAGTGGTTAGCACTGTTGCATCACTGCAAGAAGGGCCTGGTTTCGAATCCAGCATTGGGCCGGTTTGCATGTTCTCTCTGTGAATTCCCGGGGTACTCTATCTTCCTCACAAAGTCCCAAGAAATATAGTTTGTGGAGTTAGATTAATTGGTAATTTTGTGTGTTAGCCCGGAGACAGACTGGCAACCTGTCCAGGGTG